GCGTTGACTCCTCGGAAGGGCGCCTATCATCTTGAGGTTGGGGTTCTTATCCGCGCCCCTCGGGGTCCCGGACTCTGGAGTGTCACAGACAGAAGGAGCCTTAGTGATCCTGTGTATCCCCTTCCCCCTTTTCACAGATCAGGGAAATGGGCGCCTGGAGAACGGTAAGTGCAGCCACATCGCCAGGCAGTGTTGTTCTGCGACACCATTTGCAGCGCGTTAACGGACGGTCAGTTGTACGAGGCTCTTCGGGCGTGGGGGTGCTGTTAATTGTTAAGCGCTGCCGGTCCTTCGGCATTGAGTTTCGTTGGTTGCATGGAACATGTGGACGCCTCGGCTCTGTTTACCCTTACAGCTCTACGCAGCTGGCCTTAATTCCCACCTGTTTCTCTACCTGTAACCTGTGAAACAGAAGGCCTTAAAATAAACGCTTAGTGACCTTGCTAGTGTGAATCCCCTTGGCCCTTGGTCTGAAAGGATTCTATAGCACCAAAAGGTGCTAGGACTCTTCAGATCCCAGTGGTTCCAGAGCACAGTGGTTTGGAACCAGAATGGACTTCAGCACATCTCAAGAAAATATTAAGTTGTTTATCTCTGAGAAGAGTTGACTCATCTAGTCTCCCTTTTGGTAGGCGAAAGTAAGATCAGGTTAGTGGATTTTTAAATTGTAGACATTGATTTGTATTTATAGTGGCATTCCAGTCCTAGTAAGAACTAGTAGAACCCAGGCCAGTCTTGCCCTGAATGCTGATTCAGACCTGCTGACTAGTGGGAATTCACATCCTTGGAGAATTATAATCACCCTTTTCCCCAGTTTTTTCACAAAGACCTTTGTACTAGGATCACATCCGGATCATGCTTATCCTTGTGGGCTGTAAATTACATTGTCTCATGCCCAAGAAGTTTGACACTTGAAATTGCTTTAAATCAACTATTCCTTGTTAACTTTGCTTCCTTCTGTTGAGATAGGTTGAGTATTTTAGGTAGTAAACAAATGTAAAGTTATGGTAAATAGTTTTTCAATACATTGCAAATAACTATTACCCATATTAAAGAACTTAATTACAGAATTTTGATACAGGGGTTAATTTAGCAAAGAAATGTAGGCATGTTACAGTAGAGGAAAACAAACATGTAAAATTCCAAACTCCATTGCTCCAGAATACTGTGCATGCTATCTTTTCTTTTGTTGCTAAATTAAGGATCTGTTCATGCCTTCCTGGTGTGTAGGGTGAAAGAGAGGAAAAGTTTTAAATCTTTTTTAGTATGAGAGGGTCTCATAACATCTCTTTTTCCTGTCTCCTATCTTTTAATTCTGAGAATCTAAATGTACATCATGTTTTTAACATTTAAGATAGTTTGATGTAATGGTCAGTAAATGACTAGGTAATATCTGTTACCACAGTTTTCTGTTGTTTTTATAACAGCCCCCCTATTACAGAGAGTCATGACAGACTGGTTGAACTAACTTTAATTTGTACAATTTTGGAGTGTAATATGAGTACCGTCCCAGTGAAAGTGAAAAATGAACATAGACAAGTGGGGTCCACAGTGGAGTGTGGGCTTTTCTCCATCCTGTCAGGATTTTGAGGAAGCGTGTACACCTGATGTTTTATCTGTGGAGTCAGCCATATGGGATCTGGTTCCCTTAACTACCATACCATAGGGCAGGCCCTAAGGTATTTTTGACTTTCATGAATTGTTGCAGTATTACATAATGTGTACATCTATTGATAAATACTCTTGGTGATTTTTTTTAAAAGTTGATTTATTCCAAAGAGAGACAGGTACCCACAACAGTCCATTCTGAGCCTCAGCTGTCCATGATTATGGGCATGCACATGTTTCCATCTGGCATGTGCAGGGAGGCCTCTGGGTTAGGGCATGATCTTCCCACGTGAGTTCAGCATTGTAGTGTTGCATTGCCACTGCACCACCATCTGGCCCCTCTTGATGATTTTTCTTTATTTAGAGGTCTTTGCTCTAGGGCATGTGTACCAGCCAGAAAGAGAGAGAAAGAAAGTAAGAAATCACCCCTTCCCCCTGAGGATGGCCACACCGCAATCCCTTCTCCATTCTCCTCTTGGAATATTGGGCATGCACGCACACGTGCTCGGCATGAGTTTAAGCCACTGGGTCCAGGACTTGAACTGTGGTCGACTACGTGGGAGTCCAGTGACATAGCCATTGCACTAGCTGCTGGTCCCCATCTCTTGATGATTTTTAACGTGTTTTAAGTTTGAAACTCTGAAGAAGAGCAAAGCATTATAGAAGTATCAAGCATTTCTTTTCTTTTTTTTTTTTTTGGTAGAGGTTTTTGCCTTAGGATGTGTGCACCAGACAGACAGTGAGAGGGAAAGTGAGAAATCTATCCCCTCAGGAAGGCTGGCCACATCATAATCCATTCTCCTCCATTCTCCTGGGATTTGAGGCATGTACACACACGCACCTGGCATGAGTTTCAAGCTACTGGGTCTGGGACTTAAACCGTGGTCAGCCATGTGGGAGTCCAACAACGTAATTGCTACGCCATCTGCTGTTCCCAGTATCAAGCATTTCTGTGCCAACTTTTATTATTAAATATTAGTTCATCTTAGATTGGCTAAAACAGAAGTAAGGATGTAGTAGATTATTAATAATTAACACTCAGAACTCTGGCAGACTTCTCAGGTATCTATAGAACATTTTTTTAAAAATCGTATCATCACAAAACCATCATACATTAAGAAATGGACGGCCAGCCGCATAGGGCAGTGCTGGAAACTGGTGTACCCATGATCCTGGCTGGCTGCAGGGCTGTGGAAAGGATCAAGGCTTAAAGATCCTGTTGAGCATGTCTTTGTCTGTCTCTTTCATGCTCAGGAATAAATAAAGTTTCTTTAAAAGTGAGAACACATTTTCTGTAGCAAATTTAATAAAAGGAAAAGGAAGGAGAGAAGGAACAAATAACATTCTGGGGACCATCTTAACACTTAAAAGTAATTAGAGTAAAATGAAATACTTTTTTTTTTAGATTTTTGTCACAGGGTACATGGGTTCACCAGAGAGGGAAAGTGAGAATCACTCCCTGGGGGGATGACTATACCACAATCCCTTTTCCATTCTCTGGGGATTCTGGGCATGCACACACTTGTGCCCAGTGTGTTTTTCAAACTGCCAAGTCCAAGACTCGAACCATGCAGTCAGCCATGTGGGATCCAGCGCCTTAACCACCATGCTACCTGCTGGCCCTAAAATTAAATATCTTTAAAAAATAATGAAAGTTTTATTCAAAGGAAAGTGTATATCTTCAAACACTCAAAATTATGAAGCAGAATAAATTAGCCATCTAACTTAAGACATTTGAAGAAAATAGAGATATAGCAGTATGAAGGAGGTAATAAAGAGAAGAAGCTAATTTGAAAATCTAAAAGGTGAAAAATAGTAAAAATATTTTGATAATTCAAGAGCTGGTTCTGACCTAGACTCTGGCACAGTCAGTAGCATACTGAACTGTAGTGCTGGAAGCCACATGGCCAGCCTGGTTGAGCTGGAACATGTTGTGTACATGTGCCAAAGATCCTGTTAAGAGTGTTGTGTACATGTGCCAAAGATCCTGACAAGAGTGTGTGTGTTGCTCATATATTTAAAATAAGTTTTAAAAGGAGAGAGAGCTAGTTCTTTGCTAAGGTGGCGGAAGTGTAGAGTAGATAAACTTGTTAATACTGCTCAAGAAAAAGGGGAATATAAACATATAAGGTTAGCCTCTGTAGTATGTTTGTATCTGAGGGTCTGATTCCAGGACAGTCTCAGATGCGATTTTTAGGGAATATTCTTTTGGACAATAAAAGCTACCAGAAAGGAATACATGGGCTCCAATGAATATATTGATCATCTCCTAATTCAACTCAAGGAGCAGCACAGATGTCTCTAGAGGGAGAAGTTACTGAAAGGACCCGCGAGAGGACCGTGTGTAAGAAGCTGATGCGTGTGTTGGACAAGGAGAGACACTTAGGTCTTCAGAGTGAGCAGCAGTTGAGGGAGGTGCTCCTAGATCAGCACAACCAAATTAGGATGTGTGGCTTGAAATAGCAGTTCTCCAGGATGAAAGAAGCTGTGCAAGATCTATTGTGGAGTCAGTGACCTCCAGAGCAAGAAAAATAAGAGACTATTAATATAATGATCTGTCAGGAAAAATTATTAGCGAAAGAGAAAACAGGAGTCTTTGGGAGATCATTACATGATGGCAGATGAGGATTTGAAGAGTGAAAGCAGCAGTACAGATGAGGGAAAAGGAGAGACCAAACTGCTGTTAGAAAGATTGATAGCTCTGGAGGTCCAGATCTGAGTCAGGCCATCAAAACTGTAGGATGTAGAACAGACATCGGGAAAGTGAAGCACATTACTTGCCAGATCAGCAGAACCAACAGCACGGCGCAGGAAAGCGAAAGGGGCTTTCATGAGAGAAACGGATGGGACCAGGCCATGGCAGCAAAAATACAGGTTCTGAAGGATGAGTAAGGATAGACTTATCAGAGGTGAAATCCTACAGCAGAGTTATTATTTTTTGCAGAGGGAAGATTTTGTATGTAGGGCTAGTCTACCTCTGATTTGTGAAAAGGATATACTATGTAAATTCATAATATAAACAGAGTTCAAGCAGAAAGAAGAAAAAAACTGGTTCTCTGCTAGGTGGCAGAAGTATAAACTAAAAAAATTTGTTGTCTTGCTCAAGAAAAAGGGGAACGTAAATATATAAGGTTAGCAATCATTTCTGGGGACCAGCAAGTGACATGGTGGTTAAGGCACTGGACACTCCCACACGGTTGACCACAGTTCAAGTCTCAGACCTGGCAACTTGCTTTCTCACTTTCTCTCGTCAAATTTTTAAAAATGAATGAATACATAAAATTAAATTAAAAATAATTTTTTAAAAATCATTTCTTAAAACAGCAAGTGATTGGTAAGAATATATAGATTAAATTTGGTTGATCTGGTTGTTTTATTTTTCTTAAGGACCTCTAGTTACCAGAAATGATTCCAGAAGAGAGATCCTAACAGACCAGTAACAATGGAAGAAATTGGGAAAGTCATCAGCAAGCCATCATCCCCCAAAACACCAGACCCAGATGCTGTTACAGGTGAATGCTTTTCAACTTTCAAGGAGCATATAGTTTTGTTTTGTTTTGTTTTGTTTTTTTGAGAGCTTTTTGCTATAGGGCACGAGCACTCGCCAGAAAGACAGAGAGATAGAAAGCATGAAATCACCCCCCAGGAGGGATGGCCACGCTGCAGTCCCTTCTCCATTCTCCTCTGGGGATCTTGGGCACACACGCACACAAGTCCGGTGTCAGTTTAAGCCACCAGGTCCAGGACTCGAACCACGGTCGACTACATGGGAGTCCAACGACATAGCCATTACGCTAACTGCTGGTCCCAAGGAGCATATAATTTTTATCTTTTTTTTTTAGAAATTGATTTTGCTGTAGAGCACAGGCACTAGCCAGAAACAGAGACAGGGAGAGAAAATGAGAAAGCATGCCCCGAGTGATGCCCATGCCATAGTCCATTCTCTGTTCTCTTTTGTTCTCTGTGCACTTTTGCATTTTGCATTTTTCTAGGCAAAAATGTGTCCTGACTTTTCCAAAGACCCAGTATATCTTGGCCAGCAGTTGGTGTGCTGGTTAGGTTGTTGGATTTCACAAGACTGACTCTGTAGTTTGAGTCCCGGACCCAGTAGTTTGGGAAACATGCTGGATGCACGTGAGTGCATGCCCCAAATCCCAGGAGAATGAAAAAGAAAAGGATTGTGGCATGGCCATCCCTCCTGGGGGGTGGCCATGGGGGGGAAGGATTTCTCGCTTCCTTTATCTGTGTCACTCTCTGTCTCCAGTGAATGCATGTGCCCTATAGCCCCCAAAAAATCTAATAGGAAGACTTGTCCTTCTAAAATAGGATTCAAGGGGCCAGCAGGTGGCATAATGGTAAAGGCAGTGGACTCCACATGACCGACTACAGCTCGAGTTCTGAACCTGGCAGCTTAAAAATCACACTGGGTGGGTGAGTGCGTGCGTGCATGTGTGCATGTGTGTGTGTGCGTGCGTGTGTGTCTGTCTCCAAAGTCCCAGGTGGATAGTGGAGGAGAAGGGATTGCAGCATGGCCATCTTTCCTGGGGGTGATTTCTCACTTTTCTCTCATTGTCTCTCTCTCTCTCTCTGGTGAGCACACATACCTTATGGCAAAACCTTAGAGAAAGACAAGAATTCAAATTTATTTATTTTATAGGGATGGGGGGGGTACCTCAGTAGGGTCCCCCATGCCATAATCCTGTCCCAAGCCTCTCAGCCAGGAGTCTGAACCTGAGGCCTCCCACTTGACTGTGTCATTGCCAGCAGTGCTCTACTACCTGTGCCACTGTGACTGGGAGGGCCAAGACTCAGTTTTGAAAAGGTGACAGTATTTTACATTTTATTATAAAGTCACTTTAAAAAAAAAAAAAAGAATTTTGAGGAGGAATAAGACAAAAATACACTGGAGTTTACCTGGAGAATATGTGAGAACCTGTAAGAACTCTGATAATTCTGATAAGAGTAGAGGAAAATCACTACCAGATAAAATACAGCCGAATGCTGCAGTAGGTTAGAACAGGTTGGTACTAGAGAAGAGATCTAGGCTATTGGAGAAGAGGAGTACGGGAACAAATGCAAGTGCCTCTGGGTCTTCAGGTTATGCAAACCACTGGTGAAAAGAAAGGTTTGTCAGTCAGTCAGTCGTGGCTTGCCTCACTCTATGCTGATGTTCCAGAAAGATTACAGTACAAGTGATGAATGAAACTAGAGATACTGTAGGATGAAGCCTGGGTTACTCATTTATAGTTTTGGAGTATTAAGGGCCTTCTAATGAGGACATAGAATCTAAAAGCTAAGACTGATTTTAATATCCAAATCAAAAACTTCAGAGTCACAGAAATAAAATAGACAAAAGTTGGGGGGAAAGTATCTGCCACAATTTGCCAGCCAGCCATCAGGTCCAGGACTCGAACCCTGGTAAACCATGTGGGAATCCAGTGCCCTTAACCACCACGCCACCTGCCGACCCCAACACCAAATTATATTTTAAAATATTAAGTAGCAAAATGCTTCACCCAGGTATAGGTACAAGGTTGCTCATTACAGCACGTTTAAAAGCAAAAACAAAAACCAGAAAGCAGCGTCCATATATAGGAGACAGGGTAAGTTTTATGTAGCACATCCATGTGGTAGTGATATGCAGCCATTCGGAACACTGCCTTCCCAGAGTGTTTATTGAGATAACTGATAACAGAACTTTTTCTCCATGCTGACAGTAGATTTCAAAATGCATTGAGGTGCACCTTTTTTCCCTTCGCGTGATCTTGTGAAGTGATGTACGGGTTGGGAGAAGGCGGGGAACAGGGTGGAGTGTAACAAGTTAGACCAACGCTTGGGAGGCCATTGCACTAGTTCAGGCCGAAGATGAAGGCCTGTGTAGGACAGTGAGCCTGGGGGAGAGGGTGTCAGTGTAATTGATGTACAACCTTTTTTCCCTTAGCCACCTAATGCAGCACACATTTTATAAATTTGTATTTAAATGAGTAGTTTTTTACTGCCACTTGATCACAAGCAGCCCCCAGCTCCAAGGAATCTGTCAGTGGAGCATATGGGTGATTTCTTGATCTAATTGTATTAAGACCTGCCAAAATTAGAAATAAATTTTCTGTGTTTACATTGCAGTGAAACAAATTTTCAGAGTCAGTTTCCTAATTTGAAGAAAATGGTTTGGACCTCAGAGTGGTATGACACAGCCAGGCATAGGTAGGCAGTGACAGGTTTGAGCCCTGGCACGGTCTAGCTCTCTGGGTAGAACCAGGTGACTTAGGAGAAGTGTCCTGACTCCTTTTATTACCTTCCTTCGGGTAACTTGGAGCTTACAAGAATATCAAGTCATAACTCTTCTTAACTGAGGGCAAGATTCTTTTTTTTTTTATTTTTATTTTTCTTTCTTTCTTTTTTTTTTTTTTTACCTTTCCAGAGGAAAAGTGTGCCCACCACAGAGAGACAGAGGAAGCACCCCCCACATTGGGGTGTGGTCTCCCCCAAATCCTTTCTCCTCTACTTCTCCATCCTATTGGGATTTGGGCCCAGCATGTTTTTCAAATCACAGGGCCGGGATTCAAACCACGTGGTTGGCAATGTGGTATTTGGCTCCTTAACCACTAGGCCGCAAGGTTGACCCCCCAGCTTTATCTTTTCTTAAGCAAGCCAGCTCAAGCTCCAAAGAAAGAGGCTTTGAGCCATAGATTATACCAATAGTTATTTTTTAATAAAAATCTGTCTTATGAGCAAAGGGCACATAGATCTTGATATACTTAACTTAAAATGGTTTATTTGTGTTTGTTTCACATGAGAACTTGAAAAATAATTACATAGCAGTGCTAGGGGGTCTGAGAGTTTCCTGGCGGTCTCCCATGACACAGGTCCTAGCCTTCTCTGCCCTCATCATCCTTCTCCCACCTGCATTCTCACCTTTGTTGTGCTCCTATAAGACATACATGAATAATTCTTTTTTTCCTCTTTTTCTTTCTTCGTGATAGAGCCCGTGTATCCACATGCAAGTGAGAGAGAGAGAAAAGCACCCTCAACAAGACAGGGTCTGGTCATGCCAAAGTCCCTTTCCCCCAGTCCTCCAGCCTGTTGGATTTGGAGCAGTCATGCTTATCTCTGGTGTATTTCAGGCTGATTGGACCAGGATTCAAGCTGCAGTCACCATGTGGGATCAGTTTCTCAGGTGCACCTTACTGAGCGCCATGTAGGATCAATTTCTCAGGTGCACCTTACCGAGCACCAAGGAACCAGCCCAATGAGTACTATTTAAGGAATATGATATTGCTGCTCCTTTATACAAGACCTGTTCCTTAGCCAAAGTTACTGCTTTGCCTAAAATGTGCTCAATTCATCCTTATGTATATAGCAACCCTTGTTCAGCTTTCAAAGCCCAGCCCAGTAGTCCTGTCCTGTCTGTCACTCTCTCCAGACAGCTGGTTAATTAATAGTCCCTCCTCTCTGGAGGAGCTTTGAGACCTTGTACCTACTTCTTTTTTATTTTTCTTCTTTTTTTTTTGGAGAGGATTTTTTGTTTTGTTTTGTTGCTACAGGTCGCGTGCGCTCGCTAGACAGAGAGACAGAAAGCAAGAAATCACCCCCCGGGGGGATGGCCACGCCGCAGTCCCTCCTCCTCCATTCTCCTCTCGGAATCTTGGGCACGCACGCACACGAGCCTGGCGTGAGTTTTAAGCCACCGGGTCCGGGATGTGAACCATGGTCGACTACGTGGGAGTCCAGCGACATAGCCATTACACTAACTGCTGGTCCCGAGACCTTGTACCTACTTCTGCGATGGCTTTCATCACCCTGTAGTCTCATGATTTGCTTGTCTCGTCTTTCCTGACATAGGTTTCTGACACACATAGGGTCTTCAAAAAGTTCTCAGAAGTGCGTATTATAGAAAAACTGTGTGTTGATTTCAAAATCTTGTGCACCACAATAAAGTCATACTTTAATTCCATTTTCTGTCAACTTTTTCAAGTCCTCTCATGCATATTCTTTATCTAATTTTCACTCTTAATTTTCAAAGGTGGGTAGTACTGGCTTTATTTATAAATGTGAACCCAAGGCTCAGAGAGGTAAAGCCGTTGCCTTAGGTCACTTTGGAAGTTCCATCTCTCTATTACTGATGACCTTTTGTTATCCTGATTGGGCTTTCATTATTGTCACTATTTTTTTTTTAACTATTTAATTTTATTTATTTATTCATTTATTTTCATTTGACCAGAGAGAGAAAGAGTGAGAAAGCAAGCTGCCAGGTCCGGGATTTGAAGCATGGTCAGCCATGTGGGGGTGTCCAGCACCTTAACCACCACGCCACCTGCTGGTCCCACTATCTTTACTTTTAAGAACAACTGAATAGATGCAGCAATTTTGAAATTAGAAAATATAGACAAACCATTCATTTTAGCTTTTTTTTTTTTTTTCCCGAGAGGTTTTCGCTATAGGGCACGTGCGCTCGCCAGACAGAGAGAGACTTAGAGACAGAAAGCGAGAAATCACCCCCCAGAGGGGATGGTCACGCCGCAATCCCTTCTCCATTCTCCTCTCGGGATCTTGGGCGTGCATGCACACGCACCTGGCGTGAGTTTTAAGCCACCGGGTCCGGGACACAAACCGCGGTCGACTACGTGGGAGTCCAGCGACATAGCCATTATGCCAACTGCTGGTTCCCTATATGTATATATTTTGATACAAGTAAAATTGTCCTGGGGACAGCAGGTGGTATGGAGGTTAAGGCAGCTTAATTCCACATGACCAACTCCATGGTTTGAATCCCAGACCTGGTGACTTAAAAGTCATACTATGTGCATACCCAGAATTCCTAGAGGAGAATGAAAGAGAAAGGATTGTGGCATGGCCATTCTACTAGGGAGTGATTTCTTACCCTCCCTTCCCTCCGACAACGTGCCCTATAGCAAAAATTAGAAAAATTGAAAGGAAAAAAATTATACCATAGCACTGTACCATGTCAATAAAGTTTTTTTGTTTTTTTCTTTTGTTGGCTTTTCTCTGTAACACTGCTTATCAGTTAAAAAAAAGGACTCTTACCTAAATTTTATAAACACAATTCAGTTGGAGGAGGATCGTGGGGAAATTCCATTCATTTGTATCTGTAAAAAGGTTGCCCTTGTCATTTTTTTTTTTATAGGTTAAAAAAATGCTTCATGAAGACGAAAGATCTTAAGCAACATGATGGGTTCAGAAGCTCATGAAAAGAGGCCACCAATCCTAACATCTTCTAAACAAGAGCTTTCGCCTCACATAACGGATGTTGGTGAAATGAAGCATTATCTGTGTGGCTACTGTGCAGCTTTCAACAATGTAGCCATCACATTTCCAATCCAAAAGGTCCTCTTTCGGCAACAACTATACGGAATCAAAACCCGGGATGCCATACTTCAGTTGAGGAAAGATGGATTGCGAAACTTGTATCGCGGAATCCTTCCTCCGTTGATGCAGAAGACGACGACGCTGGCGCTCATGTTTGGTCTGTACGAGGATTTGTCTTGCCTTCTCCGTAAGCATGTGAGTGCCCCAGAGTTCGCGACCCGTAGCATGGCAGCAGTTCTTGCAGGGACAACAGAAGCAATTTTCACTCCACTGGAAAGAGTTCAGACTTTGCTTCAAGACCATAAGCATCATGACAAATTTACAAACACTTACCAGGCTTTCAAGGCACTGAAATGCCATGGAATTGGGGAGTATTATCGAGGCTTGGTGCCCATTCTTTTCCGTAATGGGTTCAGCAATGTCCTTTTCTTTGGCCTTCGTGGTCCCATCAAGGAGCATCTGCCTACAGCAACGACTCACAGTGCTCATTTGGTCAATGATTTTATCTGTGGAGGGCTCTTGGGGGCCATGTTAGGATTCCTGTTTTTTCCAGTCAATGTTGTAAAAACTCGCATACAGTCTCAGATTGGTGGGGAATTTCAGTCTTTCTCTACAGTTTTCAAAAAAATCTGGCTAGAACGGGACAGAAAACTGACAAATCTTTTTAGAGGTGCCCATCTGAATTACCATCGGTCCCTCATCTCTTGGGGCATAATCAATGCAACTTACGAGTTCTTGTTAAAGGTCATATGAGAAAGAATTGTCAGTTAAGTGCCATTTATCAACTGAATAGACCTTCTTAAGAGAATGCGTTTTGGCCTTATTTCTAATTGGCCAAGTAAAAGTTGGTGTCACAAGTCCAGGCCACAGTGAACTATAGGCAAAGCTGTTTTCCTAAGCAGCAACAAAAACAGAATAAAAAGATTCAATAGGAAAAGTAAAGGTTTTGTATTGTGTCATTATCCTAAGCCCTCTAGGCTAATTGCCTGGTAAATAACTGTCCGTTGATGGCCTATTGGAAGGGAACCTGATAGCCAAGATATAATTCTTTTTCTCAGAACAGTCTTCATACCTTCTGTATTGAAATGTAAGTGGCCATGACCACACATGTAGAGGCTCTCTGGGCCCCAGGACTCCTCAGGCTTACCTTTGCTACTCCATTACTTGCTGTGCTGCTCTCAGGAGCATTAGTTTTAAGACTGGTAGTCTTCATTCAATTTAAGCATATATGAGGGGAATTCAAAACGTTTGTGGAAAAATGAAATTAAAGCATGAGTTGACTTGGGTGTAAAAATAAATTTGAAACCCATGCATAGTTTTTTCATAATACACATTTTCCACGAACCTTTTGAGGACTTCGCATGCATGGTACGACAAAGGAGCAGAGCAGAAGAAAAACAGCTCCTTAGTTACAGGCTTGCCATAATAAATTTGCTTGCGTTAGTTTTGAGACTGGGCACCTACTGGGGTAGTCATTATCCAGCCTGTGTCTGTGTAGACATGGTAGAATCAAACAGCTGATGGAAGTTCCCATTTTGCTTTCAAGCTTTGACCATTTCTCTTTAATTCTGAATGTGACCTTAAATCTTTCCAGAATGTCCTCATGCTAATTTCACTTATATCACTGCCAAAAAATGGGGGGACTTACAGTTTGTCGTGTTTCATCCTGTTAAGTTTCATATTATGTATATATCAAACTATTCAACCCAGTTTCTTTGAATTATTGGTGCCAACTTAGCAAAAGGCTTTGAGTGTCTTTTTCCCACTTTAGTAATAATTTGTCATATTCAAACATCCCATTGTCTTGAAACTCCTTTTTACAAAATAAAGGCACTTCCATAAAATTTTATTTTGGAAGTGTCTTAGTACAACTCCATATATTTTTTTCCTTTTCCTGGTTTCTAAATGTAACAGAGTAGAGGGGACAGAATAGCTTTCACCACACCACTAGCTGTCTCTTATTTTCTCTTGGAAATAGAGACAGAAAAACATCATGTCATGGAACCAGGAAGATTGAGAGCATGTGATCTAACTAACGACATCCGAAAGTTTTCTTCAACTCTAGAAGTTGGTAATAGTGGGATAGCATACCTTGTCTCTTAACAGAAAAAAACTTGTCAAAGGAATCAGAAAATACTAAAATATTTTTTCCAGATAAAATGAGAAGATCATATACCAATTGAATAACTAATGAACTTAGAAGAAATATCCTGAAAAAGTGGTTTATGAATCTTATTTTTAAAACCACGTAATTATATAGTTAAGATTCTTTTCCGGCATCTGATATGACAGAGTAGGTAAGTTGTTTTTCGTTACCAGTTTTTCATCTTTCTAGCTAGTTGTGAATATGTGCACATACTGACCAAAATAAAATCAGGGCCTCAACTGGTAGTTTACTCGAAGTTTATGGGCATATAGTCCCAAAAAAGCTGTTTACCTCTATATGCCATATCGCTGGTAAAATAAAGTGAGCCTCCTTCCAACTGCA